TATTTTCTTGATTCAGGAAAATGTCAGTATTGTATTAGGATTAAATTAATATTATGTACTAATATTTAATTAGTATTAAAAAAAGCATCTGATTTAATTGATGCCAAGATGGGAATCTGAATACTGTTGATATTATATTGAACTCAGAAAGGGTAACATGGGATATTAATGAAAGAGGTACAGAGGATTTCTCTTAAAATAATTTTTTTGGCATAAATAAACAATTCAACCCTTTGTTGCAGGCAACACTAACGTGGGGTCCTTATTTGTGGTTTCAGATGCTAAGAGTAGCCACATCAACACTCTCAGGTATGAGCTTATTCTGTTTCCGTGTGCATACACAGACAGTAAGTTGATAAGAATCCAATGACATAGACCAGCCAGTGTAATAGTAGAATAAATTCATGGGAGCTTGAATGATGTCCTTGAATGATGTTTCTTGAAGGGGAAATAATATTGATGAAATAATTCCATGCACTGTTAAATTTTGTTCTTTAGCCAAGAGAAGACATTCAGGAAGTTCTGAAAACACTAATTTCCTTAGTCACCAGGCCTGTTCAGTGTTCACTGAAGTTTAAAATTGGCATTAAATGCTATTTGTCTTCATAGAATAAATTGAAGCAGATTATAAAACAAAAACCTTTCAGTCTGCACTTTTCAATGCCTACCGTTCACCATAAACTGGCATGAGTAAATTGTATATTGGTGTGAAAAAATATTTCAGTGAAAACTACCCTTTAGTTCCCCATACATATACCTTCTGCTTTGCTTCATTAGTTGTTTGAAATTGAGAAAGATGAAAGTAAAATCAGATCATTCAAATTATCATTGGATAATTTGTACTAGATCAGGAATACGTTCTGAGTCCAGAACGTTCAGAATTTTTTAATTCCCGGTCATGGTTGTCCCAAAGATGCTTTTTTCCCAAGGGGCAACTGGACTCTTGTTTTTCTTTGAAGACTTTTCACTCTTCATCCAAGAAGCTTTTTCAGCTCTGGCTGGATGGTGGGGAATGGAAGGATTTATGTTCCTTGCAGACAGCTGGTCATTTGCATTCTTTATGAGAATCATTGAGGTCACTTGGAGGTTTATCTGTTTCCTAAGGGTCACCTGAGTAGCGTAAATATTGAGAGAAGGCTGTTTAATTTTGACATAGCCTCTTTGAGCCCTCTTTCAAACCAACGGTGCTCTCTGTCCAAAATGTAGCCTTTACTGTCTTCAAGAGTGGCCTTTGTCTTTTAAATGCAGATGGGGAGGGATATGACATCATCTATCTCCAGTCTACAACACAGTCCTTTCAACAGTTCCAAGAAAGCTCCATACCCATTTGCAGTACTCAGGTGGCCCTGAGGTATACTGCACTAGTCACAAAAATGTTTATTTTCCCCCAAATTAAAGGAATGCCACAGGGCATCATAAAAGCAACATAGGCATTCTTAAGAGAAAAAAATAGTAGTATCTGCAATCCACTCTTTCCTTTGGAAATGTACCACCTGCCCTGAAAAAAAACATAGTTGCATCATTTGAGTGCCTGGATAATTAAGTGCCTTACATTCTGCTATTGGTATTTCATGGCTAATAATTCCCATCATGACTATCACGTTGTGAGAATGACTATAATGTGCTCATAAAATGTTGGATTTGTGTGGTTGTCTAAAAGTTCTCTCATTGTGAAAGTGGTCCCTGAGTGTTGATTGAAATTATGCTCAAGAATTAATCGGCAGCATTCATAAAAACTTTATTTCATTTATTCAGTGTGCGACTTCCTTGGTGAAAAGATTGCCTCTGTTTTGGGCATCAGTACACCAAAATACCAATATGCCATAGATGAATACTACAGAATGAAAAAGGAGGTATGCTTTTTTTTAAAAAATCAAGTGTTGCAAAATCTTTTTCTGTAAATGACACTATTAATGTAATTGCTTCACAGTAGGAATGTACACAGATGATGTTTGTTTCAAAAGAGAAAGAAGCACAGAGCACTTGCTGCTACTAAATCATTCAGCATGAGCTGTGATTTGCCAGGAATAAAAGCCAGGGCATTTCTCATGCTCAGAGTTTAAGATGAAACAAAATTCCCAGGCATTATGGAGGGATTTACTGAGCAAGTAGGGCAAAGCTGGTTTGCATCACCCCTTTTTTTCCTGCAGCAGATATGAATGCAGCATGTTCCATTGATCTAACCCCCCCATCCCTTTTTTCATTCTCCTCCATCTTCTTAGCTGTGGTTAAGAATGCTTAGTGTGGCAGATCTCATTGGCCCGCCCCACACCCATCTTTGCAATAATTTCCCTTTCTTCTCACCCTTTCCCCCCTCCTTCAGTAACCATTGCTTTTTCCCATTCTTACTCCCCTTCCCCTCCAAACACTTCTGCTTAGAATGTTTAGTTGCATGCTTAGTTTGGGTATGACCCACAGCTATTGAACAGGTATAAACAGCTATTTCAAACCCAGAATGGTTTGTGCAGAAGCCATTTTAGAGACACTTTTGATCTTGTCAGTGTTTCCGCTGACATGACAGTTGTATTATCGTTTCATTCAATATTGGAATGTTTTTGGTTGAACCGTGAAAGTGTTCCAATATTATTTCATTTCATTTATATAAACCTTTCTGCTTTGATAAACACTCAGAGTAGCTAGTAAGAGTTTAAAATCAAAAGGAAAATACACATTAATTTAAAATTTATAATTAAATGAATACTGAAAGCATTTAAAAGTTAAAGCCACAGCGAAAGAGTGGGAGTGAAATGGAATTCCTACAGGAAGATGTTTCCTAGACTGGGAACATTTCTTCCTATGTGCCAGAAGTATGTTTTTTTCAATAGCAGATACATTTTCAGATCTGAACCAGACAGTTTCATTCAGTGAGGCCTCATATGAATTCTGTATCTTGCATCATCAATTAGCAGCCTAGCTTCAGACACATTTTCTGACCTACAATTCTGGGCATTTTTTGATAAATTGCATCAGTGATGTATACTTTAAAGTATTTGATAGGATTAAAGATTGTTGAGAAGTAACCTGTTGTAAAATATATTGATTCTTTTAGGAGGAGGAGGAAGAGGAAGAAAACAAATTGTCAGAGGAAGCGGAAAGGAGGTTTCAAGAACGGAAGCAGAGCCAAGAAGGAATGGCTATTCAGACAGCCCAGCCAAGGGATACAGCCTGTAGTACATTCATGAATTTAAATTTTGAAAGTGAAGAAGAGCATCAGTCTGTTGTAGAAAGTAAACGAGATTTTACTGTAGTGTCTGCTTAGAATGACATATAAGTAACATATCTTGAATTGCCAAACATTTGTTTGTCCTTTTTTGCATGTTTAGTGGCATGTAATTTATTTTAAAATATGGCCATGATAGAGTTATTAATATTACAGTTTCTTCAGTCCATCTCTGTCTAATAAAGACCAAGATATTTATTTCACCTATTATAAAATGGAAATAAATCGGTTTTATTTTGATCCTTCTATGCAGAAGTAAAAGATCTTTCTAGAGCACCTGGTGCCTTCATGATAGTTATGGACTGATAACTATGTTTTTGTTTAAGTCTGTTTTGTTTTTATAACGTTATTTACTGAAAGCTAGGTGAAAATTTTAAACTAACTGGAAAATAAATACCTTCGTGATTTAGTCTAATTGCACTGTTGCACATGTTTATATGAATGTCCAGCAGTCATCTAATTCATGTGGTTTTGTTAATATTTGCTAAATAATGCTCTTAAAATTCATCTAAAAATTGATAAAGGATAAGTGTTGCAGGTCCAACAAAGAAGCATCTAGAGTATCAGTTGGTTGATATTAAATCTCAGGCTTTTCAAAATGTGATAGAAAAGAATTCCACTATTCCAAAGAGTTGATGCTTAGTCTACATCAATATTAGATGAATTATTGTTGAATGTAAACACAGCAAAATTTTAAATGAATGTGCTGTTTGTGAAGTATGATGAATTATTAGTACTGTATGTTCATAATTTCATACATGTACCTATCACTATTCTGACCTTAAAAACTGAAGTCAATCACATGTAAAATTTAACGTCTCAGAAATATTTATTTTTAATAGGAAGAACCACCTATTATGACAATTGTGAATTTTCAAACTAAAACCCTGTTCATCCTAAGAAACACTGAAAATCTACTGTAAATGGAAATTTTCTTTAGGACAATCCATAAAACATCTGCAACATGAAGTTTATAGATAGAGATCAGAGCTGAATGGATTGTGTGCATGTGAGCATAACGGGATGTATTCAGCAAAGTTGTTCTGCTCCCTAAGCACTTTCTGGATGTAATGACTTCAGTAGTTTACATTGCCCCTTCAATCTGTTCTTAAACATATACATTTGTATAAATTTAGCTGGAATAAAAAAAAAAACACTGCAATACACTATATATAGTATTAACAGAGTGGATGAAAATGGCAAAGATAAAGAATATATGCTTTTGCCTTCATTGTCATCTGATCGGGAGAAATCTCATCTAGTATACTGCTCATTTGATACTTTTTAAAATGTTTGGACAGTTTTCTCTCAATATATGCATCCATTTTGGATTACAAAATGATAATAGTTGTTGGCTATAAAATGTGTAACATAATTATTCAAAACACTGTACAGGATATAAAAAATTCTAAGGCAACATAGCTAATAAACTGATTACCTTACTCTAATTTTTGCTAGTCAGAAATGTTCCTACAATAATGAATAGGGAAGGGTTTCTTACGAGGTTCTTCTAGTCATTGTGCCTTACCTTTTAATATTTTTTAGAATTTGCAAATGAGATGTTTCTTTTCTTGTAAATGCATTAAAATGTATATTTAATATAATTATAATAACAGTTGAGTCCATGGATGTTGTTACAGGACTGACAATTGATGTCAGATATCTGATATTGGGAGCAAAAACAGTGCCATAATGTTCTTCCTATGGAACTGATTACAAGATCTAATCTGCACTGAGTTTAGCAGGATTTGATCAGTTGTATAAAATTAACAAGACAGTCTTTTTTTAAAAAAACTGTATTCTGTTTATTGCTATTACATATTTAGACACTCAAGGCTTCCAGTGTGTTTGTAAAACATGCCATACTTATTCTCCTAGCTTATTTATGCACCATCATTTTACATTTCATAACAGCACTTTACCTAGTCTTAGATTTATTGTGTCACTCATCTTTAAAGCTTAGGGAAACCAAAATTTACTAGAACATAGTAAGTTTAAGACAGTTTAAAAAACTGCCCAATACAGGCAAAATGACAATACATACCAAGCATTTTAACTTACCATGGTTTGTATTTTTGGAATTTTATATCAACATTCTTTAACATGGGATCTAAACAGATAACAGAGCCATATTGCTACAACTAAGTTCAACACTTCTAAATGACAACTGGTTGGGGAGACTGACTTATACACATAGCTGCTTGATATATTAGTCTTCTGTGGAAATGACTGTTATTTGACTTCATCAATATGGCCAGCTGACAGGTACTATTTACTTGTTAATTTTCAGAATTAGGTTGAACATTTGTAATGACACACAGAGAAACATAACAGATTTTGAATTGTTTTAGCAAAGGTCATTCAACAGTACAAAACTGAAATATTTCAGAAAATTTCTGAAGGATATAACTTGTTTAAATGCAGTATGGATTGCTACTATAGGTTCTGAAATGATTTAAATAAACATTAATTTACCAACAGCTCTTTTTAACATTTAATAACAGGTCTTCAAAACCTCAACTGAGGTTCATTTCAAAAAAAATTTTTTTTAAAAGATGTCCATCTGGAGTTAGATGGAAACTTCAGTGAAATGTGCAATGAATTTGCTATTCAGCCTCAAGCAGTCACTGTATCAGTTGGGCATATCTCCAATAATACAATCTATTACTGTTAAATCATGTATCAAGAAGATCTGTTGTACTGTCATTATCACTGGCCACAAGAACTTCTCTGTTTTCATAAGTCCAGAAGCCATTAAGATCAATTAAAATACTAGTGACTGTATCTCCTTGACTACTATTGATTAAATCTTGAAGTGAAATCTTGTAAGGATCCTTAGGTTTTACCATATCAAAGATTTCATCCTAGAAAAAATAAAATTTAACAATTTATCTATTAGAGCCTCATGGTATAAGCTTATACATCCATAAAAAAACAAGTTATTTAATTAAACTAAATGTTCCCTTATACCTTTTTGTTCTTATGAACAATAGAAGACTACATAGCACAAATACAATGTATATTAATATGCAATAAATAAGATCTGAATGGGAATATATAAGCTCCATTAATAAGGTGGCAAGGGATAATTTTTTAACTGCAGACCACTGAGATAACATTTGGAAGCTTCTTAGGTAAATACTTCGATTCATTAAATGTATAAGGGGTAAGAGGTAAAACATAACCAGATTTGCAGATTCTGATAGCTAATCTCAAAGTAATTCAGCCTTTATGTGGAGGCGATTACCTACGCTGGTCTACTCTGAACTCCACAACTGGATTACTGCAATGCACTCTACATTGAGGCTGCCCTTGAAGACAATCAGAAGTTACAAGTGTTACAAAATGAAACTGGAAGCGTTAATGGGCACCTCTTAGTATGCCTATTGTCCTCACTGGTGTGTGAACTGCATTGGTTGTCAGTTGGTTTGTGGGTGCAATTCAAGGTGCTAGTTGTTACCTACAAAGCCCTTTATGTCAGGGGGCCTGGATATCTGAGGAACCACCTATCTCCAATAATTTCTGCTTCCCTGGTATTTTCTGGCAGAATAGGTATGCTCCAGATCTCTTTACCTATGTGGTTGTATTTTTTTTATGTCTATGGGAGTGGGAAACTATAATAAACTTAAATAATAATTACCTTAAATAGTAGATAGTATAACTTCATATTGTTTTTTAAAAAAGATATTGTAATTCAAACAAATATAGCCAGAATGTAACCCTGAGAAAACTATTTCTGCTTGTGCAATTAAATCAACTCTATGTAACCATAAGATATGCAGATTCCAGTATACAGTGTATGTAACCATATTGCTGACTATCAGATAAGTACTTCGAAAGTAAGATCACTAAGTATTGCACACAAATACATTTTGATCAGAATTCTAACCTTCACATCTTGAAAAGAAACTGGATCTTGTCCATGGATTTTCATTTGTTCTTGAATAGCCTACAAGGATAGAAATTAAGGAGATAAATAACATTTTAAAATTGAGGATGTACACAATGAAGTAAGCTTAATTAGAATTGCAATAGTTGGGCAATTTTGCAAAGATGCAAAAGTGCAAAGATATACAGGTGCAAAATACTGTAGTAATTGTGATGACAATTAACATTGACTTGAGCATCGGACATAGCATTTTACAATATTCTATACAGTAAAGCTGCTATTATCTATATGTTCATAATATTTAAGGAACCTAGATGTCCCATTACCAAGAGATTTAACTCGAAACACAGCAGAGTGAACTTGGAATTCAAAGCATATAGTATTAATGATATTGATTCTGGCCAATATCAATTATTTGGAAAGCTATGGACCTGTGTTTGCTTTAACTCCTTTCAGGAATAGCATGGGTTACATTCAGGTCTTGTACTACAAAATATGTAATCAATTTTACCAAGAGAAAAAAGACTGACCATCTGCTCAATCTATTTGCAATCATTCCTAACTCTTAGCCCATTAAAAAAAAAAAAGAACAGTGAGCAGCATGTCTCATTGTTAAAATAAGCTTTTAGCCTCAAATTTTCAGCCTAACGATTATGTGTACGCTGGCAGAAAAAAATAATTGGAAAATGAAGGGCCAAAGTGTTGTTTATTACAGAGGAATTAATCTGCTTCATGCTGCTAAAAAACCACAGTTCCTGATGTAGTTTAAACCTGCAGAGCATTTATTATAAAGGCTTTGAAAAGGTTCCAGAGTTTGGGGGAGGTGACAGTAAAAACCTTTCACTGAATTAGTCTATTCTTGGGTCATTCACAATGAAATATTTTTGTTTAGTAGCCACCAAATTGGAGGAACAATATTAGGTGACATGCTGGGGAGGATTGGTGGCGTGGGACAGATTTTACAAATAATAATTAATGCTTAATTACTTGAATCTTAATAAAATGTATTAATATCTTATGAATATAATAGTGAAACCACTCATCACCATTTCCAAAAATATTGCTTATTAATTATGAATATTCCGTTTGCCGAAAACAGAAAAAAAGATTAAGTCAACTAACATTAATATCGATTTCGTGAAGGATAGAATAGTATTTCCAGTCTTAATATTTATACTGATAGATCTCTGTGAAACTGTTGATTCATTAATCAGTGTAGCTTGTGAAGTACTTATTTTTCTGGGATTAGTAAGTATCAACTGTAAATTTTGTTAATCTGAATTATTTCCCAGTCAAGTCAGCAAAACAAATTAGAAAGGGCAATTTAAAATTTACACTAAAAGCTATCATATAATTAGACAGCAATTTAAGCTCTTCTCTCATGGCAGTAGCTAAAAAAATATTCTGTTAACCATTAGAAGTTATTAGCAATTCTTTCCTCAAAAAAGAATGGGCTTATTGATTTTTTTTAGAAAAACTCATATTTAATTACAAGCACAGCAATATGGTACTATAATGTAAGATGTTCTAAAAATAATTCTGAAATTTTTTTAATGTAAAATTTTAAATGTTTGTATTTTGACAAAAGTCTTGTAATAAATAGAGGTACTTTAAAGTAATCACCAGCTGGTTTCTAAGCAAAGGCACAATGGTTACAACAACACATGTACAAAAGAATGACCTACCTTTACAAAAAGGACTTACCCTAAAAAAATAATTAAGGGAAAAGACATTCAGGTATCCTTTGTTCTCTATATCAAGCAATTTGAAAATATACTGCAAAGCTGCAGGTTCCTTTCTGTTTTCTAATGCAAGTACAAAGTCCAAGTACGTCTTATAGTCCTAAAAGCAGATGCAATCATGTTTATTATAGTCCTCTTTTAAAATTGATTTTGCAAGCAAACCATAATTGATGACTATTTCCTTGTAGGAGAGCAGTTACTTTTTAGTGAAAGTCAGCATGAAATAGAAATGGCCATTGAAGGGAAAAAAAGTGAACAGAAATTGCTTTTTTTAACTGGCTAAGCAACATCCCCATAGATTTCTATCAATGCTACAAGGGAGCTGCTCAGAATTCAAATTAAAGAAACAAATCTCTACACAGTAGATTAATCTATTGCTACTTGTCATTCCACTGATGAAAGCTAAACAGTTATTAGGTTAGGACATTTTTTAAAAATTGATTAGGAAATTTGCTATATTTTTTTTTAGCATTTAAGAATCTATTGTTAATGGCAATAGTTCTGCAGCTTTCTACCGGATTCTAATCTCATATGAGCTTAGAATAAATTTTCTAGCAGAAACTGAATACAATTTTAAAATTCCTAAAAAGCATATAGATATCCTATTGTATGTCACAATCATTCTCTATAAGATGTGTTCTTGGAGTTAATAACAATCAAATTCCATCTAGAAAATTAGAAGTATGGTATATATTAAAAGAAAATTCTATATTCTACTTTAGACTCATTATGGTTGTGTATTCATGTCAGTTACTTTCAGATTATAAATTGTTCACTGTTCTTGGTTTTGGCAGAAAAAGAGAAATAATGAAGAACTCACTGTCCTCTCTTCACAATGAGATTTCTTCTTCTCATTAAGAATGCAAAGTCAGTTATGAAAAATACCATGTGTGGGTTTCAGCTGCCAGTGAAAAGTGAATGTTTCTTTCATTCTATTTAGTTAATATGCATTTTATGTTACAATCTTAGAAACTACAGGAGATCAATTAAAAAACAAACATTGTTTCTTGAAACAAAGTATACTATTTCTATCTATGAGGGGAATACCATTTCTCCATCATAGGTCAGACACTCCTGGAAGACCCGATCCAAAAAGATGTTAGTTAGTGTCCCTGTTCCATATCGAGACAATTCTTCTTTGCTAAGCATGCCGTTGTGATCTTTGTCAAGATTTAAATATTGGCCTGCAGAGGATGGGAAAAGGGGGGAAATATGAAAGGGAGAAATGCACTTTCTGTACCATTTTACAGTTAAAAGATAATGAGAAAAGATTAATAAAACTTATTATACAAGTTTCATAGTATAATATATGCCATAACATTTTAGATTTCTAGAGAAAAAACCTCTAATTTTCAATTTTCGGAAAAGGAATTTTTGTCTTGAGAAGTTTATAAAGATCTCTTATGAATGTTAGAAACCCATGTAATAAAACAAAAGGTGTAGAAGCACTGGTATTTTCCAGTGAGATCTCCTAGCCAGCAAGCCATGTTCTGTTCAAGAAGCTACATTCCAAGATGTTCTGTGTACTACATTTTAATCTGCTCTGGTTTAATCTTGCACTCACTGAATATGTTCAGCCCTAATTAAGCTATTGTGGTATTCTGCCCATTAAGATTTGTTTGTACTTATGCAAAGTAGAACCAATAGCATCCAAAGAAAAATTAACAGTAGGTTTGGTAGACAAAACCTCAAGGTTTTTTAGATTACTATATAAAAATTTCTGGCAAGGAATTATGTCAGGCTGACATCTTCAAAGGAAAGGAGAGATGCCACTACTGAGAATGGTTAGAAGATGGATGTTGCTCTGGAAAATCTCCCTGGACCAAAGAGAGGTCATAAGATAACTCACTAGCATTCCAATTGGTTGCTCCTCATGAATAAATTGCAGAAATGAAGGTTTTTCAATTAGCTGAGGAGCTGAATTGAAAGCGGCCTATCCCTTCTTTTGGAATTATAAAATAAAAAGAGACTAAATTGAGAACTACATGTCCTACCTGACTACCTGTAACATACCTTTTGTTATGTAGAGTCTGACAATTAGATGCATTCTTTAACAATGAACAAAAAGCATTCCTACAAAGGTCTGGTTTCTTTAAGTAGCTTAGTTCAAATTTATGCCAAAACACTTTTGTCAAAGACAAAAGTAAAGTAATAAAAATACAAAAATAAGAAAGTAACTGTCCCCTTTATCCATTTAAACACTTTCTTAAGTCTTCTTAAAGTTATTTTGCAAAAATTCTTGAATCTTTAAATCTAAGTTTCTTTTCACTTTACAAATCTAAAAGAGTTTAACTGATAGAAAAGAATCTTATCTTTGCCTAGGGAGGGAAGAGTATTGCTCAGCCTCTTGGCATTCTGCCGATAAATTATTTCTAAAAGTGATTAAGAAATGAGGATGGCTGACCATATTGTTAATACAGACTACACCACAGTAGTGAGTGTAGATGGAATTCAAGGACTGCTCCACCCTCAGAATTCATATGCTGCATGGTACCCTCTGGAAAATGAGTACAATTTTGGAATAGCCACAATTCATTGTAGAAACTCCCAAAATGGGGGATGGAGCCTCCTGGCCTGCAGTGAGGCTGAGGGGCAAAGGACATGGGAAATCAGCCCCAAGGGCTTCCTGGAGCAGGAAGTGTAACACAGCATGCCTCAAAGGATGGGGGAGGCCTTTGAGGCATGTTGTGTTCCACTGAAGCCTGAGCCTGTGCTAGCCTCTCATGATCTCTTCCACCTGAGACAGCATGTCCTCTATTTAACGACCCACACAATTCCTTAACGACTGCATTGGGAAGAGCAGGTGTGGTCATAAAACGAGGTGATCGTGGTGTCTCATTCAATGACCGTCACAATTTATGACTATAATGGGCAGCTTCCATTAAGGACATAAGTTGAGGACTACCTGTAATGAATCTGACTATGACTTTTGTTGCTATGGTGATATGAACTGTTGCAACTTGAAGTTACAGAGAAAGTGAAATAAAAGAGAAACTTGCCTTTTCCTTTTGCTTGTTTGAGATACTCTCACTTTTGGATTATAATAACATAATGGCAATTACAAGAAAAACAGAAGGAGAGGGTAGGAGTAGATTGTTATGGCAGCCTCTAGAGAAAATAGTTATACAGGATTTGTTTCAGAAATTATTTGAACAAATGGAAAAGAAGCTTTTGAAAAAAGAATGGACGAAAGACTTTTAAAGATGAATGAGAAGATGAAACAAGAAGTTTAAAAAATGTAAGGTTGTATATAGCAGTTTCTAGGGAGGGTATAACCAACCAACCATAAAGTGGAAATTTTAGCGAGTAAGACAGAAATTCTAAAGAATTGAAAAAAGAATTAGGTAATCTCGCTTTTTAGAATTGAGAACGAATTTTTGTTTGAGAAGGGGCGTTGGTCCTATCTGACACACTCCTTCTCAGGGTGTGGGGAAGATCATCCAGGATTGGGTAATACTCTGCTTCCTTGCTTGGAGACCAAGTTAATTTTTCTTAGCCACGCCTATCCTGCCTGGGTGCTCCCCAGTTCGACGAAGGCGCAGCAAAGATGATGATGAGGCTCACAATCTGCAAAACATAAGCCCCTCCTGGACGAAGGACCAGACGGTCACCAGGGTGGGGCTGGATGATCTTCCCCGCACCCTGAGGAGCGTGTCAGGTAGGACCAACGCCCCTTCTCCATTGTGGCAGGGAAGATCATCCAGGATTGGGACTTACTTAAGCTGGTTAGTTGTACGGGAGGGAAGCCATCTGGTCCCAAGTTTCCTGTTGCGTGCGAGTGCTACAGAGGACGCCACCGGTCAAGGCTGGCCTATCCGAGGAGCGAGCCTCCACCTGCAACAGCAAGGGCAGGGATAGGAAGACCAATGTCTCCTCCCACCTACCCAATGGAATAGTGTGCGACCTACATTCCAGGCATGGTCGCGGCACAGGGGCCGTGCAGTGAGGCACGAGGTCTAAGGTGATTCAGAAGAACCCATGCGAGGCAATGGCCGTCTGACTCCAGTTCTCAGAGCTGATGGTCCGACCTTGGTGACCCCAGAGGACGCCTGAAACAAGAAAACAAACAAACAAACAAACACCTTGCCCACTCAAAGGAGGAGGACCTCCATGGGGAAAAAACGGAGAGACTGCAGACGGTCAAGCCCTGCCCGGCCACCTGCCGAGTTGGATAAGACAGTCGCTGAGAGGCAGCGGAAGGACCACTGAACATCTATGTCCCCAAGAATCCGCCTTGGACAAAGTGAAGGTCCAACAGGAACCGCTCCTTGGCGGACTGGCCCCCGGCCAGTCCCGCCATCTACAGGAGCCATTAGGTCACCATGTAGACCACTAACCTTCCCAAAGTTGTTAGGGTCTGGTGATGTGGCTGAGCCCCACTGGAAGCCGGTCAGCCCTCAGTCCTGGAGGGAACAGCTCTCCATGGTTATGAAGGAGAAAATCCAACCCCCTCTGCCGATACTGGAAACAGGGGACCACCCATTCACAGCAGGTGCCAGATGTCTCCGCTGATAATATCCTGCAGTGGAGAGACTCCAGCATGACAAAGAACCAGCGTGTAGCTTCCTGCTCAAACAGGATCATGAAACAAAGGTTGAGTGGGCAGACTGTAACTGCCTGAAGCACACTGGGGAGAGAAACTACCAAGTTCCGGACTCACAGGGCCCAGAGCCAAGATAGGTGGAAGGGAAGTGACAAAGCGCCCCTGGAAACCTAAACAGAGGGTGTGTAGCACATGTCCCCATCGTTGCCTGAGGGCAAGGTCGCAGCAGTTGACTGTGTGTTGTGGCCCGTAGAACCAGGCCAGGATCAGGAAGCCAGTCTCAGGAGCCGTGATCTGAGAGGGCATCGGCTGGGGACACCAGTTCCTCTATGCATGGAATCTGCACAGACTGAGCATCGTGGAGAACCAAAGGGTCTTACCTGCCCTAGGACCAGGGAACCTGCGGCCTAGCAGAGGGCACGCGAATGGAAATTCACAAGGCCTCCCAATGCCATGTACAGATAGGAAGCCCGGGTAAGCCAGAAGAGTTGTGCCAACCCAGAGCTCCAGAAAACCTCAAGAGTCAGCCTTCTGTCTAACCTACCTGCTGGTGGAAAGGAGGCACCGGGCAATGCGCCCCACACCGATTAAGCCTTCCCTGAGAATCGGAAGCCAGCCACATCTAGGCTCAGCTAATCCTTGGCCTGCCTGGAGGCCAGGGAACGGGAACCAGCAACGCGGCTTATAATGTCCGTGTAGAGAGATAACTCGGGGCAAGGGAGATGTGTCGATCCGACACCGAGCACCTGAGCTACAGCGATAGGAAGCCTACCCGGGAAGCAGTGGCCCGAGTCAATGAGACCCCCCATAACTCATCAGCGTGATTGGAAAGGTCCACCTTCTCCGCCAACAGCTGACCTTTAATGGCATGGTCGGTTGTGGAAATAGAAACACATCCCCTGGTTGTGCAGGATAAGCAGTGGTAACCCCTCCCCAGCCGTACTGGTTGAGAACTCCAAACGTGGTAGGTGAAGCTCCCCTACCTGACTATGGGAAGGCAGGAGCGCCCAATCATTGGCTGGACTGCAGGCCTGCCCTAGATAGGCCCGAAGCCAGAGTCCGGAAGTCTAGCGGGGAAGAGCCATCCCGGAAGGTTAGGGTCCCTAGTCACCACACGTGAGTATCCCATAGAACAAATTGGCTACCTGCCAGGCGTGAAGAAAGGGCCGGTGCATGGAACACCGTTCCCGGTATTGTAATCCGTGCCCTGCCAAGGGCCTGAGGATGACCGGAAGCTACTAACATCCAGAAACTACTGGTGGCTTAGATATCCGCTCACTTGGCTAAGTAGGAAGGATACCATCAACCCATTGGGCAGTGTGGGTGCCGACAAGAGGCCGCATAGTATGGCATCGGAATAAGGAACGGCAGCCAGAGGAACATTCCCCTATGGTTGAATGAGTGAGGAAGGACAAGACCTCACATGCCCAAATTGACCGCCGACCCTGTGACTCTTAGGAAGGTCAGTCATCGTTGCTGCTGGTAGAGCTGTCTGAATTTGAACAGCTGGTCTCACCTCCGTTATGACAGTCAGCCCCGGGTGAGTGTTTCCCTAATATAGAACCTTAAAGGGGTCCCCAGGCCAACTGCACTTATCCGTAATCATCGCCAGCCAATGGCCAGCAAGGTCCAAGGATGGGTCGTTAACGAGGAAGTGGTTGATGAAGCCACAAACATTTGTGCAGCCTCGTCAATTGAGGCTTAGCTCTCCCAAGGGAACTCAGTAAAGAGGTGAGGGAGAGAGTGCTGTCTGGGAGACGGCAACAGGTCAAGTTACTGACCGAGCCTCGATGAATTAGGAACCACCCTCCTGACCACCGTGCTCATAGGATGGCAGTGTCCCTTACCAATGTATGTAGCCCTGTTCCCTGCCTAGGGATGGTGGTGCCGCTTCATCGTGGGACCGTCTCTTTTAAAGAGACATCTGGCAATATCCCGGATTAAACTCTCAACCTCTAAATGGGAGGGAAGCATCTTCACTACTAGGCCATTAGGCCATTCTGGAGAATGGTCAGGAAGCGAGAGGTCGCCGGGGAAACTGCCATCAGTTCCGAACTTACATGCAGACAGATTGACTCCTGGGAAGTGCCTGGAGATCGCCTATGATCGCAGGCAGGTCATGGTCCAGGTTCTGAGGGAGTGGACTGAACCAGGACAACCTAAAGGGCTTAAGATTGATGGACGAGAGGCCCGTCGCTATTCACAGACCGTGGGGAAATTGGATCGTTTCCGAATTGGGAGATCCATAGTGAACGGAGGAACCTGTGGCGAAAGACTAAGAAAATCTCCACAGGGGTCTGTGGCGTGGTCGCCAAGAATGGCCCGTGACACCCTATGTAGTTGTCTATATACTATTTTACAGCCTTGTAGTATTCCTACGGGTGATCGATGAAGGAAGCATGGTGCAAAGGACCAGCTAAACCAGTTTCTCCCTTGGGTCCGGCCCCACTACTGAGGAGGGCGAAGTTGAGGCCGGTGTGACAAAATCCCCCTGAAAGTTCAAAGGCACTGCTTATCTGCAGAAAAAAAAGGGAGATCAGAGCTGTTGAGGCAATAACACGTATGTGAAAGGCTGGCTGTCCATGCTGCCTAATGCCACCAGGTGACCCTGAGCCAGGTTAGTGCAGGGGGGGGGACCGGTTCCTGAAGAGAACGTGACCCCACTCATGGACTTGTCGCCTCAGCCAATTTTGTAGGCGGGCTTAGGACTCCTACTCCTTAACTAGTGAGCCCTGTCCCTCAAGGTTGCCATGTCCAAGGGAATAGTAGTACGAGAAAGGCTTGAGGAAGAGCGGAGCGCTGATGACTGGCAGAGGACTGTGCTGAAAATGAGATCAACTTGCTGCTGTGAGTTAATGCTGCTCATATCCTGTCTCCCCAGCGCTGTAAGCGTGGGAAACCCCCTTCTTCAGTTGCTGAAAGGCAGACTGGTTCATAAGGAGCAGCCTCCAATGGCGCTAGGACCGCCCACTATGTTGTTACCAGGCAGATTAGTTAACAAGGGACAGCCGACTGAGCGGCTACAAAAGGGCACCAATCTTCCCGCCGTTTCACTTCAGGATTTAGAAAGGCTGGCTAGTCTTGCATATCCACTGGTACGGCTCTAATGGTGCCAAACGTCTCTACTGCATTACTGTAGAGGGAAACTGGCAACTGAGCTCAAAGGGGTCTCTCCAGCCACAGTAATCACAGCGCTGGACACAGCAGGCGCTTACTTCCTGATACAAGGCAGAGTGGCTCTGAAGGAGCTCTCCCGCCGAGGCTGTAACTGTGCAGGGCACCTTCACTGCGCTGCGCTACAGTAAAAGGCAGCCTGGCTCACAAGGAGCTCTCCCGCCCAGTAGTCATAACGCTGGGTGCATCAGCCACTCTCTTGTTAGAAGGCGGACCAGCTCTGAGGGAGCGCTCCCGCCATGGCTGTAATGAAGCAGGGCGCTTATGCCGAGTTGCGATCTAGTATAAAGCAGCCTAAGCCCGCAAGGAGCACTCCTGCCCCAGTTAATATAGCACTGGTTGCAGCAGCTGCATGCTGCCAGTTACAAGGCAGACAGGCTGAAAAGGGAGCTGTCTTGCCACGGCTGCAATGGTGCAGGGTATTTACGCCACTCTGTGATTCAGTAGGCGGCAGCCTGGCTCATAAACAGCTCTCCTGCCACAGTTGGCATAGCGCAGGGCGCAGCAGCCACTTATCTCTGATGACAAGGAAGACTGGCGCAAAAGAGCCCTTCCACAGCAGCTATAATGGAGCATGGCGCTTGCGGTGCGTTGTGTTCCAGTCAGAAGCAGTCTGACTCGCAAGGTGCCCCTGCTCCGGTGACATAACTCTGGGCTTGCTGATGATTACAAGGCGGACTGGCTCGAAAGGAGCTCTCCCGCTGCAGCTGTCATGGCCCGTGGCGTTTTAGGCGTGTTGCGATTAGTAAAAGGTCACCTGGCCCACAAATCATTCTCCTGTCACAGTTGATTTGGTGCTAAGCGCGCAGACGCTTACTCTGTGGTACAAGGCGGACTGACTCACAAGGAGCTCTCCCGCTACAGCTGTAGGGGCGCAGGTGCTTTTGCCGCTTTGCGCTCCAGTAGAAGGCAGCCTGGCTCGCCAGGAGCTCTCCTGCCGCCGCTCCAATACCATTGGACGTATCAGGCACCTTACTTCCTGAGGTGGGCAGACCGGCTCGCCTGACCTCTCCTGCCTCAGTCGTCGTGGTGCAGAGCGCTGTCGCCGCTGTATCTTCAGCAGTTTAGGCAGACTGGCTCAAAGAGCGGTCCTGCAGTGACAATGATTGCGCTGGGCTCTCCCATGCTCGATGAGCGGTAAAGGAGGCTTCCCATTGTGGTTGTGGAACGAGGCAGCCCGGCTGTCCAAGAGCACTCCTGCCGCGGCTAAGATGATGCTGAACTCAGCAGCCGCTTTCCACATATAAATAAGGCAGACCGGCTCGTCATGAGCGCTCCTGCCGCGGCTCTACTGGCGCAAACAGCGCTCACCACAATCAGTGTGTCTGGGAGAACCAGACAGGGACTGAGCCCCTTTCTTCGTTCGCCGACGATTGCCAGGGGTTGCCCATGACAGGCAAGACCCCCTCCGCTAAGCGCGGGACTGGCAGGGGCCTTCGGCTGATCGTCAAGCTGGCAGGGGGGAGTACTAGCAGACCAGTAGATTCCCTTATCGCTTCTCTAGCCTTGCTTGGTAAGGAAAATAAGGACTTTCCATCGTTCATGAAGAAATTCCAGGAATGGGTCAGCCTCTTTTTCTCAGTCTCAACTTGCTGGAAGACCGAGTCGAACTGGGGAGCACCCAGGCAGGATAGGCGTGGCTAAGAAAAGTTAACTCGGTCTCCAAGCAAGGAAGCAGAGTATTACCCAATCCTGGATGATCTTCCCTGCCACAATGGAGAATTAAGCTATTCTACATGTCTAAGAAGATATTAGAAAAAAGATTATTAAAAGCTTGGCCCAGACATAGGCAAAAATGGGTAACAATTATAAAATAAATTCTAGATTTACTACAACAACAAATGTTCCAAGGGATGTTTTAGTGCATTTTATTAGGAAGAAGACAAGGGAGAAAATTCTGCAGCAGCATTTCAATACAATATTGGAAATGGAGGTTACATTTTTTGGATAGAAAAAAAATTCTATCCAAATTTTATGTAAGAGGAAAAAATATACATTTTTGCCTGAAAAATTAAAACAGAAAAAGGTCCTATTTGGAGGAGGTAAACTAGGAGGTGTGTTTACGTTCAAACAGCAGAGATTTTGACAGAATCATGTTCAGAAGAGCAATTGGAGGAGATGCAAAGAGAGAAACTAAACAATGATGTATTCGGAAATTAGAAAAGAATGACACTGTGCTACTAGTATTAACTTTTCTAATCTTCTGGCCTGATTATGGATTAGAACTGTTTAATATGGAATATAAATGGAGCAAATGCTCCTCGGTTGTTGTGGGGAAAATAGGAAGAGGAAGATGTGTTGGATATGTTCGTTATCTTGAGTTATTTGTAAAAATAATAAAGGTAGGATACAAATAAATAAATAAAATATCAAAATTGTGGGAATGTAAATGTAAAAACTAAAAAAAGAGACTAAGTTAAGGGCTTTTGTTGATGAATTGGTATTGGTTTTAGATGACACTGATATCCCCTAAACTCCGCTGAAGATGTTACCTAGCCTGGTAACGAAACGTTTGGAAATAAACCTACAAGCTTGGAGAATGAACCTTAACCCTCAATGTTATTTTTGTTTTGGATAACATCAGTTTTGACAATAGATGCACTATGTATATCCTCTTCCCTGGCAAGGGAAAAAATTTCAGGATAGGGATCATTCTCCAAGATAAATAGTGGTAGCAGAAAGCTGAGTATGGTACAAAGGTAGTAAAAATCAGGACTTCTGGGAAATGGATGAAGTTGTCTATTTTCCCCCTTAACTAGGTTTTGCTACAATGACCATTAATTCTGATGTAAACCTAGTAATTTATGAGGTCCCTCTTTGTGTCATGAAAATGAAAGGTTCATGCAGAAAATGTAGTCCAAATGCATGCAACATACCATAAACCCTCAAAGCAGAAGGAGCAGAAAACCAATTTGTTTCTTGACTTTCTTTAGAAAGTTCTTCATCACGTAACTGAATGGATAAGGAAATATTAAGTTAACTATCAACAATTGTGAAGGACAAGTCAAAAGTCAAAAGTATATTTTAAAAATGTCTACCTCTAGTAAGTCATCTAGGAAGCTGCAGGCTAAAATATCCTGTATTTTTATCTTCCCTGGAAAAGAAAAAATAATGCTGTTTTCACTAGTTAATGACTGTGATATTTTTAGGCTTAAGCAACGTAACACCCAAGTTATGCTGAAAGGAATTTAAAAGAAACAAATTAAATTTTGACCTATTACTTCAGCTTGTGAAAAAGCAGAAATGTTTTAAAATTAATGTTATAAATAAATAATTAACACTTCAAATTGATTAAAATATTAATCAATATTAATCAAGTACCAGGTATGGGGAACACGTATGGTTATGTTTGGAAAAGTCAGAATTGCTACTGAAATCAGAACAAAGATGCCAGTGAGACCTAATTGAAAAATTACTTCAGCAATTACAATCTCATATATTACTATTATCCACAGTCAGAACTACTGTAGGTAGGTATCACAGGTGAAGGAACCAGTGGTGGGTTCCTCCCGGTTTGGTCCGGTTCGGCCGAGCCAGTAGTGGTGACGATATGACGTCACCGAACCGGTTCTCCCCCCCCGCCCTCCCACCCACCCACATTATTCTTACCTTTTATTTGGTCCCACCCCCAATCTATTGCTGCCTCCTGAGTCCCAGCTGATGACTAGAGGGAAAAATACTGTTTAAACTCTTGCCGCGGGGCTTCAAAGGGCCATCCTACAGCTGATCAGTGTTAAAAGCAAACAAATGAGTCGGGTCGTAAGTGCGAGGACTGGTCGTAAGTGTGAGGACCTTCCAGAAATGACTGACCAGCTAGCCACGCCTACCTAGTCACATGACCTCTAAGACACACCCACAAGATAAGCCACGCCCACAGAACCAGTAGTAAAAAAATTTAGAACCCACCCCTGGAAGGAACGGTCTTGAATATATAGTTTATTCCATTGCTAGTTATACAGTAAATGCCGTTTATGCCAGTGTAACCTGAACCAGTCAATTCCCATGCAAATAACTGCTTTTTCATTTACTCCAATAAGAAAGAAAGCTCTGTCTGTCCCTAACTGAAAAAGCTGCTATTGTGATAGCAAATGGTAAAACTGAAGGCTTGGGTGTCATGTCAAATTCTTGTAAATATCTGTACTGAAGCCACAACAGTCCAACTATTTCCCACAAGCATCATCATCAATTTATAATTTGGCATCTCAAAGGTAATACAAAATTTGAACAAGGAAATTTTCATTTATCAATGACAGCTTTAACATACAAAAAACATAAAGACTAAATCATCTGCAAATGTCTGTAGTTTATATTCTTCTTTTTTAATTCTAATACCATTTATCTCTTCATTTTGTCTTATATTTTTATTTATTTTTTGTATAAGAGTAATATATGCCTCCATCCACGAGTTTGGTATCTTCACTTCTATCTATCTATCTATCTATCTATCTATCTATCTATCTATTTATTTATTTATTTATTTATTTATTTATTATCAAATTTATAGACCGCCCTTCTCCCAAAGGACTCAGGGCGGTGTACAGCCAAAGTAAAAAACATAGATACAAACATTAAAAACAATTTAAAAAGATATATATAAGTTTGGCTCCAAAGTTAAAAAACAATAACAAAACATATTAAAAACACTTTAAAAAGTGTTAGGGTTAGGGTTAGGGTTAGGAGTTCATTAAATACTTCCAGCATTGTGTTGCTTATTATATCTTGTAATGTTTTATATAGCTCTGCTGGCAATCCATCTAGCCCTGGTGTTTTGCCATTCTTTTGTTTTTTAATCCCCTGTGTTAGTTCCATCATCGTTATTCTTTTCTCTAATGCCTTTTTATAATCTTCTGGTATTTTGAGTAATTAAGATTTTTCTAGGTATTGTTTTATCCTTTCTTCTGATACTCTTTCTTATTTATAGGGTTTCTCGTAATAATTCTGTACAATTTTCTTCTTTTCAGATGACACACTGAATGATAAATGATGTAATATTTGTTTTTTTTAAAAAACTTTTTATATATATATTTTAAAAAACATATGAAAAACATAACTGTGATCACTGTGCTCTTCATAAATTCAACCAACTGACAATGATGATTTAGCTATTACCGGTATATTGCTACAAAATGTGTCAGAGCAAAAACATACCTAACTAAAATAAATCCCTTCCTGGCTGAAAGTTTCAGTCAAAAATTAAATTATTACCAAATCTTTCTTCCTATGAATGATACAGGTTTTCAGATTTATGAGCAAGCCTTCATCTCATCAGGAACACATTAATACAGCCAAGAAAAACTGGAAGCATAGGTTTCCAATTTTTACTATAGTTTATAATAATGCCTTAATCTGGAGAAACTGAGTTAGTCTTCATAGTTTCAATAATTATGATTTATTGAAGCAAGATAGTTTCAATCTAGCATCATTAGTTAAATTTAAAATTCATCACTGAACAACAATCTTATAAACTATCTTTTAATTATTTAAGCTATACAAGAAAAGAAAGGTGATCAGGTCATATCAAACCCTAATATATTCAAAACAGGCATATATTTGTATAGTTTGGATTATATTACTAGATTCAAATTTTAAAAAAAGATGAGTAATTTAAACCTACCAGTTCTGAGAGGATCTAAAAAGAAGAAAAATTTTCTGACAGCAGTGCATACATAAAAAGAGTAAAAGGATTTTTCTAAACCGTCCAACTGTGGCAAAGTGGGAATGAGTTCCAATATATAATTTTCTAAATCCTAAAAAATTAAACAAGAAAATGTATATTTATACCACAAATATCATTATGATTATATCTGAAACATTTTACATTTATTCTATAGTTTGTAGAAGGAACAGAGACTCTTTTTTTTCCCTTAAGAGCTTTCATATTTTTTGTATCTAAAGAAGGGCTGGCAATATCTCTGGTCCTCTATTGACCCTGCAAGTCACATAATGCATAAACATTGTATCCATTTTCTGATGCATGCATAATTTATGAGGAGGTATATAAGTAGTCCTTGACTTACAACCATTCATATAGTGACCATTTGAAGTTACAGTGGCACTGAAAAAGTGACTTATGACCCTTTTTCATGCTTGGTCATGTGATCAAGATTTGGACCCTTGGCAACTGGTTCATGTTTATGATAGTTGCAGTGTCCCATGGTCATTTGATTACCTTTTGTGACCTTCAGACAAGCAAAGTCAATGGGGAAGCCAGATTCACTTAACAACCATATTAAAAACTTAGCATTATATTACAATTTTATTTGTTAATCAAATTTGTACTCTGTCACAATTGCAGTACTCCTGGTGGCTTACTTGAAATCTGATTATATATGAACAGATGATTATTAAATCTGTTCCCTTCGACTGCTCTTTTTAAATGAAGATAAATAGAAATAATTTCAGTTACATTAGATAACCATATCAATTATTATTCTTCACTTACTGATTCTCTGAGGTAACCTTGTCCAGCCACATCATATAAACTGAGGCCTATTCTTGTCTGGTACAGCCATACTGTGAAGCAGATTAAAAAATACCCAAAGTAAAATAAGGTATAGTAACAAATTGAAAGAACATTAGATATTGATATTCACAAGTATTCCAACAAAGGCAAACTGGATAGTTCCTATTTAAATTAATTACAAATAAAAATTCAAAAATCTGTTATAGCAAATTGTACAAATTCAAATACCATATGTATATATACTGGTAGTTCCAGAGAGCTGAATATTATCTGGCATTCTTATGTTTCAATTTACAAATTTTCTGAGATCCACTATGATTTCTGCCTTGCTTTACTGATGACCATCCTGACTTCCCTTAAGATATTCAAGTCATTCAAAAGACTAGTTCACAAATTATAATTTGTATTTTATTATACAATTATGTTACATGTGAACCCATCATTGTGACCTATACAACAAACTACAGTTAAACCAACCATAATTTAACTCAATCTGTAAACAGAAAATTAGTCCCATGTGAAGTATTACTCTCATCACTGGAAGATGTATGAAGAATAAGAATAACTTTAGACTTAGAATAACTTTTGTTGCTTTGAATGTACACTAATCGGCATACATTAAAATGAAATTTCGTTGCATACAGCTCTCAAAGGGTCTCCACCTCTAATATACACTACATAAACATGACAAAATAAATAAATACAAAATTATGCATATGAGTCAAGATAAGAAAAGTATGCAATGCTTTAGAATACCTTCCGACCTTTTCATTCTTAGTAGTCATAAGAGGGATATTCTGTACAATAAAACAATGTTTTTGGCTTTGTTTTTTTATGTCTGCCCTACATCTAAATTTTTTTGACTCACTAGGTCATAATTGGTTGTTACTAAGCCATTATTGTGATTCTGGCATGGGTACATATATTTGCAGAGTAGCTTTATTTATTTGTTTGTTTATTTGTTTGTTTGTTTTTCAAATTTCTGAACCATCCATCTCCCTCAGCTATCAACCATCGATTGATAATGCTAACATAACCCATTGGGTAGGAGGAAAAAAGTATGAAACAGTTGAAAGAAGCAGATTTAATTGTTTGATGTGTGAAACTCACTGGCACACAAACATTTTCTGGCAAGAGAAAAGAAACCACAGCTCTGTTGTATTTGTTAGTGGGTTTCTACTGTCTTCTTGTTGGTTCTGAGTATGTTTGCATGTATATTCTACCGGAAAGCAAAAGGAGACTGCATATGTTCTGTCCATGAACAGGAAAGAGGAGAGGGCTTAGAATGACCCATTCTAATGTGTCCTCAGAGGAACACATTTTTTTTCTGGAATTTTTCCTTGCAGCTGCTACCCATATCCAGCCTGTTTTCAAATTTCTTCTTTTATTTTTTTTTTTGCTGGCTTCTGTCGTTGTCATCATCATCATCATCATCATCATCATCATCATCATCATCATCATCTTTTTCCAACATTTCATTGGATTAGAAAGAATAAAAATAGTGAAAATGTGAATAATAGTCATTATAATTTGCTATTACAATAGCAGTCTAGTGAATAATAGTATTGAGTTAACAGTGATAATGAAGTATAATATGATGACGTGATTAAAAATTATGATAAATTTAATATTATCACATATTAGATTATGATTAAAATAGAAAAACATGGACAATACTGATTACCACTCATTTTGGTCTACCAAGCCAGCTCATGCCCACTTTTAGGAAAATGGTTCTCAACACAGTTTAAAACAGAATGCAGTCCCAAACCACTTCTACTTTATGGAATCTAATAATATAATATGCATCATTATAGATCTTGTTACAATGGATCAAAAGGACTCACCTTTTCTCATGACATAATTGAAAAACTGCATGATAGATATTCTTCCATAGGGATCATTATGAAGTAATTTAGCAAAAATTTTAGCTGTGAAGAATTGCCTATGAAACAGAAATTTAGTACTGAAATTTTGAAGATGTCTTTGCAGTTTGAATGTCAGTTAAATAATGAATAATGGATTAAATAAAGTAATAGAAATTTGTATTCTGAATATAGTACTTTGCAATAGACTTAGACTTATATACCACTTTACAGTTCTTTACAGCCCTCTCTAAGCAGTTTACAGAATCAGCATATTGCCCCCAACAATCTGGATCCTCATTTTACCAACCTCGGAAGTATGGAAGGCTGAGTCAACCTTGAGCCTGGTGAGATTTGATCTGCCAAACTGCTGGCAGCCGGTGATCAGCAGAAGTAGCCTGAAGTACTGCATTCTAACCACTGCGCCACGGAGGCTCTTCAGAAATATATTTCTGATATTCTGACGCAACTTGAGGGGAACATTTATCAACCTATTTAATTTCATAGAACCACCTATCTGTACTTTTACACTTTTCCCCACAATTTATGTATAACTTGAAATTGTTCATCCTGTTTTCCTATCTTTGATACATTAATATTCAAATCCATATTCTAAATAGATCATACAATCTATCAAATATTCACTGTTAATTACAAGTAACCTCTGTATTTAGCGACCATTCAAATTATGACAACAATGAATGACTGGTGCTTATGACCAGCCCTCAAGTTCTAGCTATTCCATTACCCCTGTGGTCACATGATCACAATCTGGATGCTTAGCAATTGCCTTGCACTTGTGATGGTTAGTGTCCCTCAGTCACATGATCACAATTTGTAACCTTTCCTGCTGGCTTCCCTTAAGGAAGGAAACCAGCAAGATTGCAAGTTGCTTGAGTAAGTCTTACCCACCCGGGCACATTTGCGCACTGTCCCTAAACCTTAGCAATAGCAATAGCACTTAGACTTACTCCACTTCGCAGTGCTTTTCAGCTGTCTCTAAGTGGTTTACCAAGTCAGCATATTGCCCCCAACAATCTTGGTCCTCATTGATAAAATTTGAAAGGATGGAAGACTGAGTCAACCCTGACCGGTTAGGATCGAACTCCAGTCTGTGGACAGAGTTAACCTGCAATACTGCATTCTAACCATTGTGCCACCAGATTCCCCAGCCTTGCTGAGCTCGCACTACCCCACCACCTATGTACCCTCCCTGAGTCTTTCTGTGCTAACATTATGCCTCTCTGCTACCTGTGTATCCTCATACTCCCTCCCTGAGCTTGTCTTGAGTTCACAGTGTCTTCCCAGCCATTCATACACCCTCTCTCACCCTTGCTCACTTGTTAGCAGCCATCTGAAGCTCCACCATGCTTGTGCTGTGCCTTCTCAGCCACCTGTGGATCCCACCCACCCGTTCCCTCTCCCACCCAGTAGCAGCCACTTATCTGCCTGTGAGTCACCTGAGATTTTCAACTTCCTACCACCTTTCCAACTGACTTTAGTTGTTGGAAATTGGCAGGAACTTCTGGGGAGATGCTTTGCTTAATGAACCACAATTCTCACTTAATGATAATGGGGACTTTTGGGATTGCCATTATTAAGTGAAGCGATCAGGTAGTACCACACTTTATAATTGCATTGCTTAGTGATGGAAATTCTAATCCTAACTGTGTAGTAAATCAAGAACTATCTGTATTTAAGTTCTCAGATAACAAATATTGGCTGAATACAAAATACATGCACAGTCATGCCCCTGACCAACAAACACACAACAAATATTACTGTAAGTGCTCTTTAGACATTTGTCCCTTAATATATTAGGTAATCCAGGATGCTCAAATAAATCATTCATTATATTTCATATAGTCTAATGCATGCTTTCCTTTAATCATAAAACAACTTTGTGACATTCAACAGCTAATTATAATCACTTAAATTGCTCATTCACATGTACTTTTGCCTTCTATTGATTAATTAACTATACTAAACTATACTATACTATACTATTAATAAACTATGGCTCTGCAACCCAACAAGACAGACACAGACTTCAGAGGATAATTAGAACTGCAGAAAAAACAATTGCTATCAACCTGCCTTCCATTTAGGACCTGTATACTGCACGAGTCAAAAAGAGGGATGTGAAAATATTTAAAGACCCCTCACATCCTGGACATAAACTGTTTCAACTCCTACCCTCAAAACGATGCTATAGAGCCCTGCACACCAGAACAACTAGACACAAGAACAGTTTTTTCCCGAACGCCATCACTCTACTAAACAAGTAATTCCCTCAACACTGTCAAACTATTTACTAAGTCTGCATTAAGTCTGTCTAAGACTGTCTACTAAGTCTGCACTACTATTAATCTTCTCATTGTTCCCATCACCCATCTCCTTCCACTTATGACTGTAATTTTGTTGCTTATATCCTTATGATTTATATTGATATTGTTTCCTGATTGCTTATTTGTAACCCATGACTATCATTAAGTGTTATACCTTATGATTCTTGATGAACGTATCTTTTCTTTTATGTACACTGAGAGCATATGCACCAAGACAAATTCCTTGTGTGTCCAATCACACTTGGCCAATAAAAAATTCTATTCTATTCTATTCTATTCTATTCTATTCTATTCTATTCTATTCTATTCCTATATATATATATTCAGCAATACTTTTCCCTCCCTTCATCCAATCTCAGATCTGAATATTGACCTAGATGTATCTAAAACACTAAGCAAATCAGGCTCCTGTGTTTCAAAATAAAGGTCTTACTTGCACTTGGATCCAGCTTTTTCACCAACTTTCAAGAAGTTTTCATAGTTAATCATTGCTTCATCCCCCATCATAGGTGGTGTCTGATGTTCATCCAAGAGAAACCACAAATTCTTAAAAAGGAGATTTAAAAATGATGAGGAAAAATCCACTTACTGGATAGTAAAGTTTTCAAAACAGTGATCTGAAATTAAATCATATTTTAAGTTTTTTCATACCTGCAATTCTTCATTGTCTAGCAATTCTCTACTTTTTCTCTGCAAAAAGACTGCTCTAGATTCTTCTCTTAATTTTTGTAACAATATTTCATCTTCTGCTGGCAGCTAAAAAAAGAAAAGAATTGTAATTGGCAGCACAAGTATATTTTGAAACTTGTTTGAATAAATGTTATTTGTGCTACAATAATTCTTGAAATACAATGATTCCTAACTTCCTTCCTTCCTTCCTTTTCTTCCTTCCTTCCTTTTCTTTCTCACCTTTGGCTGTCTTTTGCCCCTGCCTCATTATCCATTATTACTAATGAACAACAAAGAATAATTGGCAATTGATAGTACTTAGCTTCTTCCATGCATCTGTTAACAGTTGCCCCAATTTCTTTCTGTAATCTAATAAATCCCCTTTATAGACAATGTTTTTTTTACAGATTTAAACAGAGAACAGTGTTGAAAAGTAAAAATGTAGAGAAAAAGAAACTAAACAGGAAGCTAGGTATTACCATACCTCCTTTTACTTCCATAAAAGTATACCTAAGGAGTCTAAACTTATAACTCAAAAAAACAAGTTTAGCATCCATTCTTTTTGTGTCCAATACATCCAAGTTCTCCGTTCTTTCTATTTGTCTTGCAACTTAGTTTTTTAGCCAAATGTTTCAGCTTGTCATGTGCAATTCCCTTATGAGGCTGTTCTTAAATTAACATTGTTATTCACGTGTCATGTTCAAGCCCTTCATTCCTTCTTATTTGATCAAACATGAATTCTTTGGCACGTAGGATCCAAAATAGGCCCTTTCCACTGGAACAAATAGGATGAGCTAATCCCTTCGGGGCAATACCCTGATCCCATGTCATAAAGGGCTTTATAGGTAATAGCCAACACCTTCAATTGGACCCCCAATTTATACAATATAATATCACAATCCTGTATGTGGAAGACTATTACAATTTTACTGGATATGATACAAATTAGCTATAGAATTAATGTATTGTTTTTGTTGACATGGAGTTTCAATCCTGATTCCACTTTGTCAACATAACTAAAATAATTCTCTTCCTAGTTAAAAAAAAACAGTTGTGTCTAACATTGTAGATAATATTGTATCTATAGAAATCAGTTTTAAAAATAGTTTTGTGTAAAAAAACCAGATATTGTTCTAATATCTTGTTTCTGAAGAAGCTGAAATTTCTCTCTGATATATTTTCACTAGTTGTATCAAAACATCCAACTTATTCCTGCAGTTTTTAAATACCTGATGTTTTAGAAATCTAAGACCAGCTGAGACCAGGTTTTATATAATTTTAATGATCCTTGGTGGCTTATTCTTTTTGTTAATTAAATTGTTTTACCATAAAAGTTGTATTTTAAAGACCTTACCTAGAGCAACACTGAAAACCTACCCTGTAATAAAATCGTGGTATGTTCACATAAGACGCACTGGCACTTTTTCTTCCTCCTTTCCATTCCAAGTAGTATTTTGTAAACAACTCCATCTCTTCATCCTTCAATTCTTGGTCACTCCTTTTAGCTAAATAACACAAAACAGAGTATATTACCTTTCATTTATATAGCCTACTTTGTAAAACAAATTTCTATGTGAAAAATAATTTTGATTTGAATTCCATGTACTGACTGGAAACATCTTTCTCTATGAAAGAGAAAGAATAAAGAAATGTCTATAAAATCCTTTTATGCTAACAGCATATTAGACCCATGGGAGGGAACCTAGGGGAAGCTGGTGGGGTGACAGATGGGAGGGTAGGGTGCTGCAGTGCCCTTGTGGTCATAAAGTGAATGATTGCAATGGCCATAACTTCAAAATGGGGTCAGAGGGGGCAGGTCTGTGGAACTTCGAACGGTTGCTTAAGTGACGAATCAAAAGTCAAGGACTTGTTGCTTTGCTGCTGATGGTTAATCCTAAAAGACAAGAAGCTATCTACCATTTCAATAGCTTTACTGTCAATTGTAAGGCTGCTTGTTGTACTTGTTGTAATTAATTTGGTCTTCCTTATATTTAATTTTAGTCCCGTTTTCTTTCCTGTACTCCTTAGGTTTCATTTATTTTGCAGATCTTTTGCATTTTCAGCTATCAGGATCAATGTCATCAGCATAATAGAGGTAATTAATGTTTCTCCAATTTTAAAACCACATCATCTTCCAATCCAACTTCCCTTAATATAGGGGTGAAATCCAGCAGGTTCTGACAGGTTCTGGAGAACCAGTAGCGGAAATTTTGAATAGTTCGGAGAACCAGCAAATACCACCTCTGGTTGGCCCCCGAGTGGGGTGGGAATGGGGATTTTGCAGTATCCTTCCCCTGCCATGCCCACCAAGCCGCACCATGCCCACCAAGCCATGCCCACAGAACCAGTAGTTAAAAAATTTGGATTGCACCACTGCCTTAATATATATTCAACACGTAAGTTGAATAAATAAGGAGAGAAGACGCAGTTGTTAACTTGGAGCCAGTCTGTTTCACCATGTTCTGTTTGTATTGTGGCTTCCTAACAGGTATGTAAGTTTCTCATAATGAGATGTTCTGGAATTCTCATTTTTCTGAACTTGATGTGATCAAATAAATAAATAAATATACTGATTCTGTAAACCGCTTAGAGAGGGCTGTAAAGCGGTATATCAGTCTAAGTGCTATTTTTTTTTAAAAAAAGTGATTTATATGCCGCCCTTCTCCGGAGACTCAGGGCGGCTTACAATGCGTTAAGCAATAAGCAATAGCCTTCATACTTTTGTATATTTATACAAAGTCAGCTTATTGCCCCCACAAACTGGGTCCTCAATTTACCTACCTTAGAAAGGATGGAAGGTCAACCTTGAGCCTGGGGAGATTCAAACTAGCAGTAATTGCAGGCAGCTGAATGATAATAACAGGCTATTAGTCTGCTGCGCCACCAGGCTCTATTGCTATGACAGGGCCATTACAGGGGGCTTTCCTATCTATCTTGTCCTTTCACGCTGAATGATTACTAGGACAGACAGAGGCCAGTAAAGTAAACTAAATCTCATTCACAATAGGATAATATTAAATCTCATTTGACGCTGCTGTGAAACACGGAGCCTAAAAAAAAATCCCGCAAGAGGCTACAAAAAGCCGTTTATTCGCCCTCAGATTCCGAGACAGCGCAGGTAGCGCGTTACCTCGGAGCAAAGCTAGAGAAGCGCCAGGCGGGCGAGGCAGGCCCTCGTTTAGCCCCTCCCCGTTTAACAGACACTCCTCAGTCACGCGCCACCGGGCTAATTAAAAAAAAAAAAAAAGTCCCTCTTCCACTCACGGTCGGTACTGACAGCCAGCCGGCTTTTCAGCGCCTGCTTCCAGTCCATCGTCCGTGACGTTCCCGCCTCAGTCAAGTACGACACCTCCCCCCACTAACCGTCGTCACTATTGGCAATATCCGGGAAACGGCGAACCCGTCAATATTACTCCTCCTCCTCCTCCCTCCAGTTTAAGGATGGGGGGAGGGGAGGGAGAAGAAGCTGCTGTATAACGTACAGCAGAGGTCTTCCAACTGGGCAGCTTTAAGACTTGTGGACTTCAACTCCCAGAATTCTCCAGCCAGCTATGCTTATATTTAATAACCAGCAATGCTGGCTGGAGAATTCTGGGAGTTGAAGTCCACAAGTCTTAAAGCTGCCCAGTTGGAAGACCTCTGACGTACAGGGAGAAAACGGAAAGCGGGAGGGGGGAGCTTAATTAACATGGCTGCTGCCTGCCGGCTATTGGATTTCTACCCACTACCTGCATAGACCTCATGTGCTCTAATCGACCAATTAGAGGAGAGTGCTTCGATTGGAGGAAATTTCCGGAAAAAGTAGCGCGCGTGGTTCCCTTATTACGGTAGCTGCGGCTTTTTCGTGGAGTTTTGACTCGGATTGTCTTCATCGCCCGGACTAAGTTGGCCCTGTTTTAACCTGCTTCCCGTTTCGTAGCATGCGGTGCGTGTCGAGCGCTTTAGCTAGCAAGAACCGAACCCTTTGGTAATTTGGGCTGAACTTTTCTGTTCTGGGAGCTCCTAATGTCTGCCAAATATGGCAAGCAAGCTAACAAAGTAGATTATTTATTTATTTAAGAAGGGACGTGGGAAGAGACGTCGGAAATCCGATCTAACTAGCATCCTTTAAGATTAATGTGATTATAATGCATAAGCTTTAGCGTTGGAGTGAACTCAAATCTGTAGGGTTGAGGGGAGGAGAGAAAGGAAAGGGAAATTACAGGTACATCATCATTTAACTGTTGTGTTCTTCAGATTTTTGAGATCAAGACTCGAAACAAGTAAAGCAATAGCTGAGCAGTTTAGCCACCCAGGCCCCTCGATTATAGTTATCAAAGTAACAGTTGCAGAAGAAAGAAACGTCTTTGCTAAAACAAAACAAAAAAACAATGGAAAGGAGGATCAGTTTAATTTTGAGGCATGATGGCCACATCTGGCTTACCTTTTCTGATAAGCAACCAAAGTTCATCCTGTGTGGCCCTCCCGGCAGCAGATTAAAAATATGAATGTCCCATTACATCTAGGGTCTCTTTCCAAGGATATTCCCCTGACCATCTAAATACCTAAATCACATGACAGTCCTTTCATTTAGAAGGGCATTCTTTGATGCCTTGCAGTCTTAGAAGGGAGTTATAAAGGCATCCAATTTAGATTAAGGTTTTGCTCATGTGGTGAACAGGCTATTAAAACTCATGTGGTGAACAGGCTATTAAAATGTATTTTATTATGCATTTATATACATTATATAAATAGTTGTTATACAGCATTGCCCATTTTATACTGGCCCACAGGGTGGATAATCCCTATTCATTCTGATTAATTTTACTTATTTTACTCTCAGTTATCCATGACTCCATTACCCTAAGTTAGTTAAATTCTGCTATGTCATATGTATGTGTATGTGTATGTATATGTATATGATTTATTTTAAACTATTGAGTTAATAAATAAGTGTCTTTATTGTAGTTAAAAGACAATACATAATAATACTGGTCTCTGACTACAATAAAGATACTCTAATGCAAATTTAAAAGAAAAAAGGTAGTTGGAACAGACAATACTGAGCTGAGCACATTGTAAGCCGCCCTGAGTCTTCGGAGAAGGGCGGCATATAAATCAAATTTAAAAAAAAAAAATACAACTTCCTGGATTGTTTCTTTTCAACCTTTGCTGGGAGGCCTTATGTTGTTGAGTATATCTGTTCAAGTGATAGATTCTAAAAGCAAAATCAGATTCTTGATCCATAGCAGCCCTGCAGGTCTCAATTTTAGGGCTAGTTACAGAGTTACTTTGCCTCTGGAAGATGATAAGTACTGAAAACTGAGTCTGCAGTAAGTGAGATATCACCATTCTTACTGAGTGCAATTTATAGTTTATCTTTGTCATTTTAAGGAAATATCTGTTTTCATGCAGCCTGACCTGAATGAAAATCTCATATCATTGTGCTTGACTTTCTTGTGTGTAGGTACCACTAATGAAGGAACTTCAGAAATATACTTCTGTCAAGCATTTTAACAAATGAAGGAAAAGAAGTTCTCATTTCGAATTGGCCTTTTAGTTGATTTTTTTCTGAGGATAATAAACACTGATTTGGTTTAATAAGATAAATTTATTAGTGACATCAATCATTTATTATTCCAGCTTTTTGGACAATCTGTCAATTTTCTCATTTTTCATATATTTATTACAATCTGGTTCTTTTTTCTTTTTTTAAAATTCAGTTTTAATTACTCAGTATTATGGGTTTTTTCCTCCCAAAAACAAATTGGGTTTTGCAGACATTTGTGTCAACAAAGCAAAACTTCCCAGCTGTATGTAGATGTTTTACTTCTACTACATCATGGAGATGGGCAGAGTCGACAGATCCTAAATCCTTTCATCAAGAAATTAAAATAAAAGATGACATTATGACGAAGAAAAAAGCTGGTAAAAAGAGATTTGCCCCAAAGCCTTTCAGTGCATTTGTGGCTGGATCATCCAAGATGAGGGCAATGTACAATACAAATAATGCTGTTGCAAATGATTCTTCTAGTCCTTTAAACATAGTCTCTACTCCGGACACACCTTTGAGTGCCAAGGAATGGGAGAAGTTAAAAGAAGAATATCAACACTTTAAAAAATTTGAAGATGTTATGTTTGACAGCATGGTACATAATCATAGCCCAGTAGATGTGGCTAAATCCTTGCTGGTTGCAGTGGCTAAACGAGATGGAGACATTGAATATAGTTATTTGGTGAAATACTTGACTCTCTGTGTTTTTCATAAGGACATAGGAGAGATTTATGACATCTATAATATTATGAAAGCCAAATATAAATCTTTAGAAGCATCAGCTTATTCTTTGCTCATCAAAGGTTTGAGTGTTTCCTCACACTGGAAAGAGACCTTGGTACTACTGGAAAAGGTTAAAAAAGTCTCATTCCATTCAAGACAAAATTATGGAGACTGCATTGAGGGTGCCCTACTCAACCAAGAAAGAAACCTTGCATTTGAATTGTTTCATGAGATGGTAGCTGAAAATCTGATTCCTGCTTCGGCAACAATAAAGCTTTTCTTCGACTTTTGCCAGCCTGTGAAGGATGACCATTTGAAAAACAAATGTATTGATATCCTCTACTACTTAAGAGAGAATCAAATTTATCCTGACGAATCTCTCATGCTGAGCGTAAAGCAGTGGTTTGAAAGGTAAATAAAGCTTATCCAGTAATAGTTGTTCTTCATATTTTAGATGAAAGTTCCTTAAAACAATTCTTACTTTAAACACTGAGTAGTAAATAATCTGCTTATGTTGTGAAGTTGATGAGAAATATATGTAATTATCAAATCTATGGGAAGTTTGCACACATTGCTATAAGCCATCTGTGTTATATTCAAGATTGGTTTAATGCAGAGGTCAGCAACCTGTGGCTCTGGAGCCACAGGTGGCTCTCATCCCTCTGCTGCGGCTCCCTGTCACTCAAAATATGCGTCACAACAGCCAATGTGTGACACCCGCTGGCACACTATTTATTGAGCTTTTCAACCCCCGTAGGCAAACCATGGATAAATCCAAGAAAAGAAAAGTTTCAGAAGAAAACAGAATGTTTAATTCAACTACATATGCTAGTTTTGTGACTACTCATGAAACAGTCAGGCACAGGAAGGGTTTTGTGCTCCTGGTGTTTTCTTTTCTGTGGGAAACAGGTCCAAATGGCTTTTTGAGTGTTTAAGGTTGCAGATCCCTGGTTTAATGAGTAATACCTAATTCATATGAACAATAAATAATTGTTATTTACAAACTTCAGCTATTGTGTACATATAAGTAAAAAACTCAAAGCCAGATGATGAGCTACACCAGGCCTGTCAAACTGGGGACCTGCGGGCCAGATGCGTCACACGCAGGCTACACCCACCCCAGCAAAGGCAAAAAACATTGCAATATGTCACAATACGTCACGTGACGCGATCGAGTTTGCCGCCTGTGCTCTACTACATCATATGTAAACTCAGCTTCCTATGAATATACTGTTACTTTGCTTTAAGGTTTATTATCTCTTAAGCCAATAGTTGGGTCAGACTGAGTTTCAGTTGCTTAGCCATGGTATATTCGTTAAGCAACAATTTTCTTGTTTGTTCAGCTTACTCAGTCATAAATCATTTTATAAATCATTGTTTAAAAACTGCATTTAGCTACAAGTAGGAAAACCGTATTATGGCTTATATGGTAGATGGCTTATAGCATAGTGTGATATATGAACTTAGTCAATGGGATAATCAAACAGTCTTAAAAACTACCATTGAATTTCCGTATTAAAAAATGACATTGATAACCTGCTATTTTAAAAGAAACTTAATGCATTTACAAAAAAATGGAATACTTAAGAATAAGTTGTAATGCTGCTATAGTTTCTTTAAAAGTAGTATATGTTCAGTGATGATTACTGAAACGAAAATGCTGCAATATTTTATAACATCTAATTTTAATTAAATAGTTATTGCTAAGCTCAGTCAAAGCAGACAAAAACTTCCTGTGACTCCTCATAGATTCAATACAATTTGGACACTATTGTAATTCAAGAAATAACAGTCCTTGAGCAATGAAAGTTGATTCTAAACCTCTATTTTCTTTGGATTCAGATCAACTGATTTTCCTACATTAGCTTATAAGAATTGCTTGTTTATGTTCTCTGTGTTCCTGCTTGTGAATTGTTACTTCTTAACAAAACCCTGACATATAGATTGGAAGTAATATACTC